GACCTTCCCCCCGCCACAATGGGCCAGTTAGGGAAGACAGAGCTTCTGGTTTTGGAGGAGCTGAGTTTGAGGTGCTGAAGAATGTACATGTGGAGCCAAAGGTCATTTGCGGATGGACGTGGGGGGACAGTCACAACTTACAGGCCAGTGGTGTGTGGACTGAGCCCTTGGGCCCTTGGAAGGAGCCAAGCAGGTGAGGAGGAATCAGCCTGGGAGACAGAACTGGTTGAAAAGCTAGGGGAACTGATCCCAGAAAAGGAGCAGATGGGCAGGGGTGGGAGGATCCCAGGGAGGAACAGATCCAGAGGAGCCAGGCTCTAGGGGCTTGTGTGAGTTTTCTGGGATGGGAACTGCCATGGGAATGGGGCTTCCAGGGCTGAGGTCAGGAGAGGCTCCCTGCCTTTTGGAGCTGTGGGTTTCTCCTTGTTTCCCTTTTCCCTTTGGCCGCCAGGATATTCAGAGCCAAATTTCCACCTTAGCTACCCCCTCAGCCCCTGCCTGTGACTGCACACTTTCAGTGTCCTGTGTACCTGTTTGCCCCTGCCCAACTGGCCATCCCAGACAGGTGTCTGGCGCTTCTATCCCGTGTGTCTAGGCTATGAGAGTCACTTGAGGACTGCTGTTTAGAAGGCACCATCTGGCAGTGGGCAGCGCTGACTCATGGTGGTCTCCCAGTTTTAGAAGCAACCCCAAACCTGCTGGGCTCTCTTCATCACCCTGGGCGTTTCTGCCCCTGTCCCCATCCCCGGACCCTTGTGGCTCAGCTTCCTCCTCTGAGAGAGGGCTGTGTCCCAGCCGCTGGGTGGCAGCAAGGTCATTGTGGGGAGGGGCTGCCTTGCCCGTCTGTCCTGGGCTCCTGGTGCCTCTCTCTGGGGGATGCTAGCCCAACCTCCCCACAAGTCTGAGCAGGAAGGCAGCCCCTACTCCAACTCTGAGGAAGGAGAAAAACCAGTTGGGCTGTGAAGGTGAGGGGTGGGGGTGGTGGCTGCCCTGGAAACCAGGATGGGGGACAAGGCGGAGTTCCCAGGATGTCATCGTCACTGGTGCCACCAGGCCCTGCAGCACTGCAGAGGTGGCTCAGGGTCTCAGATTCCAGTGGGTTGGTGTGACCCAGCTGCCCTTGGGGCTTCCAGCTCTGTGGATGGCTGGGTTCTACCTTCTGGTGAACTGCTCCCTGGGCCTGTCCTGGCTCGTCCATCTAGCTGGACTGCCCGCTGGAGCCTGGGCCTCCCTCAAAGTGGCCGGTCCCACTGTGCCTCCTTGGGTGGAGGTGAAGGCTCCTCTGGGGTCCTGGGCCACGTATGGCACCGCGGAGCTCTCAGTAGGAGCACCTTTGTGGAGGCAGGCAGGGAAGGGAGGGGACACGTGGCCCCACTTTGAGAATGCCTAAGGTGAGGGACATGGCGTCAAGGCTACTGGGGCCTCATCCAGCCCAGGCAGGGGTCCGGCAGAGACCAACACACTGTACGGGAGGGAGACAGGCTGCAGGAGACAGGCTGTAGGGGTCCGGCAGAGGCCGACACACTGTACAGGAGGAGGACAGGCTGCAGGGGACAGGCTGTAGGGGTCCGGCAGAGGCTGACACACTGTACGGGAGGAGGACAGGCTGGGGGGGGCCGGCCGGGGCCAACACAACGGCCAGGG